TCTTATAGTGATGTCTTGTGTGCCCTTTATGCTCAATTAGTTAAATATCGTCTGGCCGAGGAATTGTATCCCGCCACGGTGGCCGGTTTAAGCTATCAATTTTATTCCGCTGAAAAGGGTGTAGTTTTAAAGGTATTTTTTTATAAATTTAAAAATATTTTATTAATGTTTTTTTATAAATTCTTTATTTTTCTTGCTTTTAGGTTAGTGGTTATAATGAAAAGTTACATTTGGTTGTTGATCTTATAACCAAAGCTATGGTTTCTATGCGTGAACATATTACCGAGGAACAATTGGAGGTTTTCAAGAAACATCAAAAGAAGGCCTATTTTAATGCTTTAATAAAGCCTAAAGCACTTAATAAGTGAGTAAAAGAAATAATTTCAAGTTTAGAAAATAATTTCTTATCAACTATAATATTATAATGCAGGCTATAAAGCAGACTATGGACAAGACTGTATGCTAGACTATAGACTACACTATGGAGTAGACTATAGGCTATAGAACTCTATCTGAACAGAACTAGAACTGAACTAAAACTGAAGTAGAACTGAAGTAGAACTGAAGTAGAACTGAAGTAGAACTGAAGAAGAACTGAAGAAGAACTGAAGTAGAACTGAGGTAGAACTGAAGTAGAACTGAAGTAGGACTGAAGTAGATCTGAAGTAGAACTGAAGTAGAACTGAACTATAACTGAACTATAACTGAACTATAACTGAACTAGAACTGAACTAGAACTGAACTAGAACTGAACTAGAACTGAACTAGAACTGAACTAGAACTGAACTAGAACTGAACTAGAACTGAACTAGAACTGAACTAGAACTGAACTAGAACTGAACTAGAACTGAACTAGAACTGAACTAGAACTGAACTAGAACTGAACTAGAACTGAACTAGAACTGAACTAGAACTGAACTAGAACTGAACTAGAACTGAACTAGAACTGAACTAGAACTGAACTAGAACTGAACTAGAACTGAACTAGAACTGAACTAGAACTACTGAACTAGAACTAAACTAGAACTGAACTAGAACTGAACTAGAACTGAACTAGAACTGAACTAGAACTGAACTAGAACTGAACTAGAACTGAACTAGAACTGAACTAGAACTGAACTAGAACTGAACTAGAACTAAACTAGAACTGAACTAGAACTGAACTAGAACTGAACTAGAACTGAACTAGAACTGAACTAGAACTGAACTAGAACTGAACTAGAACTGAACTAGAACTGAACTAGAACTGAACTAGAACTGAACTAGAACTGAACTAGAACTGAACTAGAACTGAACTAGAACTGAACTAGAACTGAACTAGAACTGAACTAGAACTGAACTAGAACTGAACTAGAACTGAACTAGAACTGAACTAGAACTGAACTAGAACTGAACTAGAACTGAACTAGAACTGAACTAGAACTGAACTAGAACTGAACTAGAACTGAACTAGAACTGAACTAGAACTAAACTAGAACTGAACTAGAACTGAAGTAGAACTGAGGTAGAACTGAAGTAGAACTGAAGTAGGACTGAAGTAGATCTGAAGTAGAACTGAACTATAACTGAACTAGAACTGAACTAGAACTGAACTAGAACTGAACTAGAACTGAACTAGAACTGAACTAGAACTGAACTAGAACTGAACTAGAACTGAACTAGAACTGAACTAGAACTGAACTAGAACTGAACTAGAACTGAACTAGAACTGAACTAGAACTGAACTAGAACTGAACTAGAACTGAACTAGAACTGAACTAGAACTGAACTAGAACTGAACTAGAACTGAACTAGAACTGAACTAGAACTGAACTAGAACTGAACTAGAACTGAACTAGAACTGAACTAGAACTAAACTAGAACTGAACTAGAACTGAACTAGAACTGAACTAGAACTGAACTAGAATTGAACTAGAACTGAACTAGAACTGAACTAGAACTGAACTAGAATTGAACTAGAACTGAAGTAGAACTGAACTAGAACTGAACTAGAACTGAACTAGAACTGAACTGAACTAGAACTGAACTAGAACTGAACTAGAACTAAACTAGAACTGAACTAGAACTGAACTGGAACTGAACTAGAACTGAACTAGAACTAAACTAGAACTGAACTATTCCAGACTATAGTCCAGTATTTTGAATTCCTTTTTATTTGCATTATTTTTTCACTTATCGGTTTTATTTTTGAGAATCATCATTTTCTTAAAATCATCATTTTTTTGTGACATTGGGCTTCAGGGTATTACCTTAATTTTCACTAAAACTATACATAACTCTTACATCCCTCTGCAATTTATTATTTTTTAGGGATATCCGCTTATGTATAGTGGAAAATATACGCTGGCCCATAATAGTTAAATATAAATGTCTCAATGAGATAACACTACAGGATATGTTAGAGTTTGCCGACAATTACACACATGAATTGTATGTGCAAACTCTAATGCAGGGTAACTTGACTGAAGAAGCTGCTCATAATGTCATGAATAATGTCTTGACCACCTTAAATTGCCAAAATATAAAAGAGGTAAATAACACTAAAACAAAAAAAAAACAAAACATTTCGTCCTTAAAAATACATACATTTATTTTAATTCCCAGACAAAATATATCGAAAATCGTACGGTACAATTGCCTCAGGGTTCTCATTATATACGTTGCAATGTTTTAAATGAAAAAGATTGCAATACGGTGGTAACAAATTTCTATCAAATCGGTCCCTGTTCAGTGCGCATTGAAAGTATTTTAGATTTGTTAATGATGTTTGTGGAGGAACCTTTGTTTGATTCTTTACGGACTAAAGAACAATTGGGTTATTATGTGGCTTCATCGGTGCGCATTAATTATGGCATTGCTGGCTATTCCATTACCGTCAATTCTCAAGAGACTAAAAACTCTTGTGCTCATGTAGAAGAACGTATTGAAGCGTTCCGTGGTAAAATGTTGCAGATACTAGATGAAATGTCTCAAGAAGAATTTGAACATGTAAGAGAATCCTTAATTAAAATTAAACAAGTGGTGGATATGTCGTTGACGGAAGAAGTTGCCCGCAATTGGGGTGAAATTACTTGCGAGGAATATCTATTCGATCGTAAACGTAAAGAGGTGGAGGTGTTGCGTACTTTGGGCAAACAGGAAATCATTGATTTTTGTCTCAACAATGAACGTACAAATCTAAGAAAATTGTCCATACAAGTTATTGGTCACACAAACGGTAAATGCAATGAAGCTTTAGAAGCCGATATGGAAACAGACAGTGCTGCTGAAGCGGAGGAAACAAACGAGGATGAAGACGATGAAATGGATGATGAAGAGGCCAATGAGGAGTTATTCAATGCTTTGGCCAATAAATTAGATTTGAAATTTATACCACGTGAAGGTGATGCCACTACTATTGTGGATATCAATGACTTTAAGGAAAACTTACATGTTTATCCCATAACAAAAACCAAACTGGAGACACCTGCCATTGACGGGGAAAATACTGAAAGGGCTACACCTACTGCTGGCATGGATATCATAGAGGATTGTTAAAATTTTGGCAATGTGAGAAGTGTATTGGAAAAGTAAATTGATGTAGAACTTTCTAAAGATAAAACAAAAATTCAAATTTAAAATTTGCAATTTTTTTCTCTTTTAATTAAAATTTTGATTTTTTTTTAATTTAATTTTTTAATGATTACGTTGATAATAATAAAATAAAATTTTATCTAAAAGCTTAACAGAAAAAAAAAAACAAATAATAGTAAGATAAAAATGAGATAAAAGTAAAAATTAAAAAAAAATTGTGAATTTTGATTTCTTCTATGTTTTAACGCTATATGTATATATTTCGTTAAACTGAACTAAAACTGAAGTAGAATTGAACTAGAACTGAACTAGAACTGAATTAGAACTGAAGTAGAACTGAAGTAGAACTGAAGTAGAACTGAAGTAGAACTGAACTAGAACTGAACTAGAACTGAACTAGAACTGAACTAGAACTGAACTAGAACTGAACTAGAACTGAACTAGAACTGAACTAGATCTGAACTAGAACTGAACTAGAAATGAACTAGAACTGAACTAGAACTGAAATAGAACTGAACTAGAACTGAACTAGAACTGAACTAGAACTGAACTAGAACTGAACTAGAACTGAACTAGAACTGAACTAGAACTGATCTAGAACTGAACTAGAACTGAACTAGAACTGAACTAGAACTGATCTAGAACTGAACTAGTACTGAACTAGAACTGAACTAGAACTGAACTAGAACTGAACTAGAACTGAACTAGAACTGAACTAGAACTGAACTAGAACTGAACTAGAACGGAACTAGAACTGAACTAAAACTAAACTAGAACGGAACTAGAACTCAGCTGCAACTCAACTACAATTCGACTAGAACTGAAGTGAACTGTGTGTGTGTGTCTACAAGGATTTATATTTATAATAAAATTTTTGGAAATGCAGCCGATCAAAAGGGATACGTATGAATCAATACGTGCATCTGTATATGTAAACATCTGTTTATACGTTCATATCCATATATAACTTAAACCATGACAAAACCTATATTTTAACTTGAACTGCAAGCCATACATTTTCATTTTTTATATCTGTCAAACACGAACAGTTGTTAAAACGCATGAGAAGAAAAAACATATACATATGTATGTATTTTGCAAAGCAGAAAAATAAAAATACATATAAACCCAACAAAAAAGTGTGGAAAAAGATGTAGTATTTTCAACACAACTAGTAACCCGAACAACCTATGAATTTTATACTACCGTGTCATTGGAGGGATGTTGTTCAATTTTGACAACTTTGAACTACATCCAATTTTATTTTTAGAAGCAATAAAAATGTGATATTTGGATGTCAAAAACAAATCACACTCTTTCAATGACACGCTTATGTAAATTTTATTGGTTTTTCACCAAAATTTGTACTTCGAATATGTTATTTGTACATATTTTATACAATCTCTTCCCTCACATTTAACTGGGGGTTTCATTTGTAAGGAAATATTTGGTTTATAAAAGTATGTAATCGCATTCGTTTGTAAAGTATTACATCAAATATGTTTTGCTGGGAAATATGAAGTGTTGAGATTAAATAAAAGAGTATCACAAAAATATAAAAAGAAAGTGAATCATTCATTCCATTATAATGAATAATATCAATGAAGTAACATCTTTAAAATATTTACCCACACCGGATAAATCGAAAAATGATAAAAAATCTTACAAGTAAGTTAAAAAACGTTTATATAATTCTTTATTTTGTTAAAATATTGTAAATTTGTTTTAGATATTTGGTTTTAGCAAATGGCTTACAAGTATTGCTGGTCTCGGATAATAAAACCGAATGTTTATTAAATAAAGAAGACGATGATATTTCTGCAAAGAATTTGCCTCAAAATGATCAGGGTAAGTTGCAGGAAATTTTTGCCTTGGTATTTGTTTGTACATAGGCATTTAAATATTCCAAGAAACAAACAGATTAAACATGAGGTCATCTTATATGTTTTTGATGCATTTAGTACAGAATTTTGCAATTCCATTATTTTACTTGTTTCGGATATTTAGGTGGATATTTCTAATAACTACAGAATAGATTGTAGAACTAGAAGTGAACTGGAAATGAACTTCAACAGAACTAGAACAGAACAAGAACTGAACTAGAAGTGAACTGGAAATGAACTTGAACAGAACTAGAACTGAACTAGAACTGATCTAGAACTAGAACTGATCTAGAACTAGAACTGAACTAGAACTGAACTAGAACTAAACTAGAACTGAACTAGAACTGAACTAGAACTGAACTAGAACTGAACTAGAACTGAACTAGAACTGAACTAGAACTGAACTAGAACTGAACTAGAACTGAACTAAAACTGAACTAGAACTGAACTAGAACTGAACTAGAACTGAACTAGAACTAGAACTAAACTAGAACTGAACTAGAACTGAAATAGAACTGAACTAGAGTTAAACTAGAACTGAACTAGAACTTATATAGAACTGAACTAGAACTGAACTAGAACTTATATAGAACTGAACTAGAACTGAACTAGAACTGAACTAGAACTGAACTAGAACTGAACTAGAACTGAACTAGAACTGAACTAGAACTGATCTAGAACTGAACTAGAACTAAACTAGAACTAAACTAGAACTGAACTAGAACTGAACTGAACTAGAACTGAACTAGAACTGAACTAGAACTGAACTAGAACTGAACTAGAACTGAACTAGAACTGAACTAGAACTGAACTAGAACTGAACTAGAACTGAACTAGAACTGAACTAGAACTTAACTAGAACTGAACTAGAACTGATCTAGAACTAGAACTGAACTAGAACTGAACTAGAACTGAAATAGAACTGAACTAGAACTAGAACTGAACTAGAACTAGAACTGAAACTAGAACTAGAACTGAACTAGAACTGAACTAGAACTGAACTAGAACTGAACTAGAACTGAACTAGAACTGAACTAGAACTGAACTAGAACTGAACTAGAACTGAACTAGAACTGAACTAGAACTGAACTAGAACTGAACTAGAACTGAACTAGAACTGAACTAGAACTGAACTAGAACTGAACTAGAACTGAACTAGAACTGAACTAGAACTGAACTAGAACTGAACTAGAACTGAACTAGAACTGAACTAGAACTGAACTAGAACTGAACTAGAACTGAACTAGAACTGAACTAGAACTGAACTAGAACTGAACTAGAACTGAACTAGAACTGAGCTAGAACTGAACTAGAACTGAACTAGAACTGAACTAGAACTGAACTAGAACTGAACTAGAACTGAACTAGAACTGAACTAGAACTGAACTAGAACTGAACTAGAACTGAACTAGAACTGAACTAGAACTGAACTAGAACTGAGCTAGAACTGAGCTAGAACTGAACTAGAACTGAGCTAGAACTGAACTAGAACTGAACTAGAACTTATCTAGAACTGATCTAGAACTGAACTAGAACTGAACTAGAACTGAAATAGAACTGAACTAGAACTGAACTAGAACTGAACTAGAACTGAACTAGAACTAGAACTGAACTAGAACTAGAACTGAACTAGAACAGAACTAGAACTAGAACTGAACTAGAACTGAACTAGAACAGAACTAGAATTGAACTAGAATTGAACTAGAATTGAACTAGAACTGAACTAGAATTGTATTAGAACTGAACTTGAACTCTACTAGAACTAAACATTGAACTGAACTAAAACTGAAGTAAAACTGAATTAGATATGTTATACTTTTTTATTTACATATATTCTTCCAGCCGACGAAAAACTCTCCGCCGTTGCTCTTATGGTCGATGTGGGAGCATTTTCTCAACCTCGCGGTTATCAAGGATTGGCTCACTTCTTGGAGCATATGATTTTTATGGGTTCAAAAAAATATCCCAAAGAAAACTCCTTTGATACACACATAACGAAATACGGTGGTTCCAATAATGCCTGTACGGATGGTGAAGAAACTTTGTATTATTTTGAAGTGGCTGAAAAACATTTAGACAGCAGCATGGATTATTTTGCGGCACAATTAAAAGAACCTTTGCTAATAGAAGATTCCATGACTAGAGAGCGACAGGCTGTGGAATCTGAGTTCCAATTGGCGTTAAATAATAATACAATCAGATGTAATCAATTATTACAAAGTTTGGCCAATGAAAATTATCCACATAATAGTTTTATTTTGGGCAATTTGAAAACCCTTAAAGAAGATATTGAAAGTGATGCAGAGTTACATAGAAATCTGCATGAATTTTATAAAAGACATTATAGCAGTCATCGTATGTATGCCTGCATACAGTCCCGTTTACCTCTTGAGAAATTGGAAGAATTGGCCATTAAACATTTTGCTGATATAAACAACAATGAATTGCCTGGTTTGGATTTTGAGCAATTTCCTTATAAAGACGCCTTTAGGGCTGAATTCTTTAAAGAAGTTTTCTTTGTTAAGCCCGTGGAAAATATTTGCCAATTGAATTTGACTTGGGTCTTACCACCCACTTTAAAAATGTATAAATGCAAGCCGGATGAATTTCTATCACATCTTCTAGGTTATGAGGGTGAGGGCAGTTTGTGTGCCTACTTAAGGAAAAGGTTTGAAGAATTTTGATTTAATCAAATTGTCATTTGTAAAACTATTAAGAAATTTTACAGGCTTTGGGCTTTAGATGTGAATGCTGGTCCTGAAATTAATTCCATGTTTACTTTATTTTATTTGAACATTACTTTAACCGAGTTGGGCCTTAAACATTTGGATGAGGTGCTCCAAGCCACTTTTAGCTTCATACAACTGTTTAATAAAGCCAGCAATTTGAAAGAATATTACGAAGAACTTTCTTTTATTAAAAACAACAAATTTCGCTATTCTAGGGAATCAACTCCCGGTGAGAATGTTACTTATTTGGTAAAATATTGTAAATATTATCCCTCAAAAGATATTTTAACCGGTTCCGTGCTATACCATCAATTTGATGAAGAACAAATACAACTTATAATAGATCACTTAAATGAATTCAATTTTAACATAATATTGACCTCATATCAAAACTATGAGGGTGTGATATATGATAAAAAAGAAAAATGGTTTGGTACTGAATACACCTCTAGGGAAATACCCCAAAAATGGTTTGATATGTGGCAGAGTGCTGAGGAAAATTCAGAACTTTATTTGCCTAAAGCTAATGTATTTGTGGCCCAAGATTTTCGTATTTTCTGGCTGGAAAATGGTAAACAGCAATTGTCCGCCATACCTGAGAAGCTAATGCAAACAGAATTATATGAATTGTGGTTTAGACAAGATGATAAATTTCTATTACCTTATGCCCATATCTGTTTTCATATGATGTCATCGGTGTTGAGGCAAAGCGCTAGAAAGTAAGTATTATTAAATGTTTTTGAATAATTTCAATTTTGAACCTTTATTTTTATATATTTTTCAGCACTGTTATAGGGTCATTGTATCTCGACTTGGTAGACCACTATTTGCAGGAAGAATTGTATCCAGCCAATGTGGCTGGAATAACTTCTAGTATATATTATGATGAAAAAGGTGTAGTTTTATCAGTAAGTAATGCAAAACACTTAAATTGAACATAAGTAGAACCTAACTAGAACAGAACTAGATAAGAACAAGAACAGAACTAGAACAGGACTAGAACAGAACTAGAACAGAACTAGAACCAGAACAGAACTAGAACAGAACTAGAACAGAACTAGAACAGAACTAGAACAGAACTAGAACAGAACTAGAACAGAACTATAACCAGAACTAGAACAGAACTAGAACAGAACTAGAACAGAACTAGAACAGAACTAGAACAGAACTAGAAAAGAACTAGAAAAGAACTGGAACAGAACTAGAACAGAACTAGAACAGAACTAGAACAGAACTAGAACAGAACTAGAACAGAACTAGAACAGAACTAGAACAGAACTAGAACAGAACTAGAACAGAACTAGAACAGAACTAGAACAGAACTAGAACAGAACTAGAACAGAACTAGAACAGAACTAGAACAGAACTAGAACAGAACTAGAACAGAACTAGAACAGAACTAGAACAGAACTAGAACAGAACTAGAACAGAACTAGAACAGAACTAAAACAGAAATAGAACAGAACTAGAACAGAACTAGAACAGAACTAGAACAGAACTAGAACAGAACTAGAACCAGAACAGAACTAGAACAGAACTAGAACAGAACTAGAACAGAACTAGAACAGAACTAGAACAGAACTAGAAAAGAACTAGAAAAGAACTGGAACAGAACTAGAACAGAACTAGAACAGAACTAGAACAGAACTAGAACAGAACTAGAACAGAACTAGAACAGAACTAGAACTAGAACAGACTAGAACAGAACTAGAACAGAACTAGAACAGAACTAGAACAGAACTAGAACAGAACTAGAACAGAACTAGAACAGAACTAGAACAGAACTAGAACAGAACTAGAACAGAACTAGAACAGAACTAGAACAGAACTAGAACAGAACTAGAACAGAACTAGAACAGAACTAGAAAAGAACTAGAAAAGAACTGGAACAGAACTAGAACAGAACTAGAACAGAACTAGAACAGAACTAGAACAGAACTAGAACAGAACTAGAACAGAACTAGAACAGAACTAGAACAGAACTAGAACAGAACTAGAACAGAACTAGAACAGAACTAGAACAGAACTAGAAAAGAACTAGAAAAGAACTGGAACAGAACTAGAACAGAACTAGAACAGAACTAGAACAGAACTAGAACAGAACTAGAACAGAACTAGAACAGAACTAGAACAGAACTAGAACAGAACTAGAACAGAACTAGAACAGAACTAGAACAGAACTAGAACAGAACTAGAACAGAACTAGAACAGAACTAGAACAGAACTAGAACAGAACTAAAACAGAACTAGACAGAAATAGAACAGAACTAGAACAGAACTAGAACAGAACTAGAACAGAACTAGAACAGAACTAGAACCAGAACAGAACTAGAACAGAACTAGAACAGAACTAGAACAGAACTAGAACAGAACTACAGAACTAGAACAGAACTAGAACAGAACTATAACCAGAACTAGAACAGAACTAGAACAGAACTAGAACAGAACTAGAACAGAACTAGAACAGAACTAGAACAGAACTAGAAAAGAACTAGAAAAGAACTGGAACAGAACTAGAACAGAACTAGAACAGAACTAGAACAGAACTAGAACAGAACTAGAACAGAACTAGAACAGAACTAGAACAGAACTAGAACAGAACTAGAACAGAACTAGAACAGAACTAGAACAAAACTAGAACAGAACTAGAACAGAACTAGAACAGAACTAAACAGAACTAGAACAGAAATAGAACAGAACTAGAACAGAACTAGAACAGAACTAGAACAGAACTAGAACAGAACTAGAACAGAACTAGAACAGAACTAGAACTAGAACCAGAACAGAACTAGAACAGAACTAGAACAGAACTAGAACAGAACTAGAACAGAACTAGAACAGAACTAGAACAGAACTAGAACCAGAACTAGAACAGAACTAGAACAGAACTAGAACAACAGAACTAGAACAGAACTAGAACAGAACTAGAACAGAACTAGAACAGAACTAGAAAGAACTAGAACAGAACTAGAACAGAACTAGAACAGAACTAGAACAGAACTAGAACAGAACTAGAACAGAACTAGAACAGAACTAGAACAGAACTAGAACAGAACTAGAACAGAACTAGAACAGAACTAGAACAGAACTAGAACAGAACTAGAACAGAACTAGAACAGAACTAGAACAGAACTAGAACAGAACTAGAACAGAACTAGAACAGAACTAGAACAGAACTAGAACAGAACTAGAACAGAACTAGAACAGAACTAGAACAGAACTAGAACAGAACTAGAACAGAACTAGAACTGAACTAGAACAGAACTAGAACAGAACTAGAACAGAACTAGAACAGAAATAGAACAGAAATAGAACAGAACTAGAACAGAACTAGAACAGAACTAGAACAGAACTAGAACAGAACTAGAACAGAACTAGAACAGAACTAGAACAGAACTAGACAGAACTAGAACAGAACTAGAACAGAACTAGAACAGAACTAGAACAGAACTAGACAGAACTAGAACAGAACTAGAACAGAACTAGAACAGAACTAGAACAGAACTAGAACAGAACTAGAACAGAACTAGAACAGAACTAGAACAGAACTAGAACAGAACTAGAACAGAACTAGAACAGAACTAGAACAGAACTAGAAAGAACTAGAACAGAACTAGAACAGAACTAGAACAGAACCTAGAACAGATAGAACTAGAACCGAACTAGAACAGAACAGAAACAGAACCGAACTAGAAGAACAGAACAGCAGAACCGAACTAGAACAGAACCGAACTAGAACAGAATAGAACAGAACTAGAACAGAACTAGAACAGAACTAGAACAGAACAGAACAGAACTAGAACAGAACAGAACAGAACTAGAACAGAACTAGAACAGAACTAGAACAGAACTAGAACAGAACTAGAACAGAACTAGAACAGAACTAGAACAGAACTAGACTAGAACAGAACTAGAACAGAACTAGAAAGAACTAGAACAGAACTAGAACAGAACTAGAACAGAACTAGAACAGAACTAGAACAGAACTAAAACTGAACTATAATTGAACTAGAACTGAACACTAATTTAGTTTTCTTTCGTTTAGGTCGAAGGCTTTAATGAGAAACTTCATTTGGTGGTGGAAATAATGATGAAAGCTTTAATCTCCACTAAAGATCGCTTAGATGAAAAACAATTGGAAATATTTAAAAAACAACTACAGAAGAACTTTTATAATAGTCTTTTAAAACCTGAAGTAGTTAATATGTAAGTTGTTTCTCTAAAAAACATTTTATAACAAAAAGTTTTTAAACCACTCTTTCTATTGATAGAAACCTGCATGGTTTTATGTTAAAAGAAAACTTTTGGCTGTTGAATGAAAAGTATAAATATATTAGTGATATCAGTTTAGAAGATATTCAAACATTTGCTAAAGAATTCACTCAAGAAATATATGTGCAAGCTTTGATACAAGGAAATTTACAGCAGAAAACTGCTTTTAAGGTACTGGACACAGTGATGGAGCAATTAAATTGTGGTAAGATAAAAGAGGTAAGAAAAAGAAATCAATATTTTGTTTGTTAACAAAAGTATACTACGTTATTTCCATTAGAGATCTTTAATGGATGATAGAGGTATAGAAATACCCTTGGGTTCTCACCATATATTGTGTCGCAATCTAAATCCCAAAGATTGCAATACTGTAGTAGCAAATTACTATCAAATTGGACCACGTACTTTGTATAATGGATGTATTTTAGATTTTCTTATAATGATACTAGAGGCTCCTGTTTATAATGTCTTACGTACCCAGCAACAATTGGGCTATTTAGTCAGTTGTTTTACACAAATCAATCATGGCATTATGGGTTTCTTTATATATGTTTCATCTCAAGAGACAAAACATTCTTCTTCACATGTTGAAGAACGTATTGAAGCTTTTCGTCGGGATATACATGATCTCCTGGAGAAATTATCTTTAGAAGATTTTGAAAATTTTAAAAATTCTTTCATAAAACGGTTAGAAATTAAGGATGTTACATTGAATGAAGAGGTATACCGTAATTGGGAAGAGATTACCACCGAGGATTATTGCTTTCTACGTAAATCTAAATGTATAGACATTTTGCGCACTTTGAAAAAGCAGGATATTATAGATTTTTGGCTTACAAATGAGAAGAAAAACTTGCGTAAACTATCGGTACAAGTAATAGGTGTTAATACAACACCAGAAGAATGTAAAGGAATAGAGGAAGACGATGTTAAAAGAGAAATAAATTTGGAATTTTTAGAGTTCGATAAAGATGGACCCTCAATTGTTAATGTCGAAGAATTCAAAAACCAATTAAATGTTTATCCTGTAACTAAAACAAAGGTAATTTAAAATGTATAATCAAAAACTTTTAATAGAATACAACGAAAAGATTTTTATAAAAAACCACAACAAAAACGTCTAAAATATTCTAACCCGCATAACAATAAAAAACAATCAATTTATAAAGAAAATAACTTTTTAATGATTTCAATGTTATTAATCATTCGTTTTCTGTTGTGCATTTTGATCTTTATCTGTGTTTCTAATTTTTTTTTTACTTATTTACACATTTTCTTATATTTTTTACTTATTTACACATTTTTTTATAGTTTTTTTTTTATCACTCTTATCATTAACTACTACTTACACTCCAAAAATAAAACAAAAATAACATAAAATCGAAATACAAATTAATAGTTGTTAGACATAAAGATAAAAAAAATATATATTTTTTTAAGAAATACCGGTGGCTTGTTAAATAATATGTTCAAATGTATTTGCTAAAGATAAAGAAAACTTTAAAAATTTATATATTTAAAACAACAAATAAAAAACGGAAAGAATCAATAATTAATTTAAATAATAACACTTTTGAAAACTGCATTTATATATATAAATACACTTGACTGCTTTTGAAAATAAAATTTTTTTTAAACTTGAGTATTATTAAATTTTTTACTAAATAATAACAGAACTAGAACAGAACTAGAACAGAACTAAAACAGAACTAAAACAGAACTAAAACAGAACTAAAACAGAACTAGAACAGAACTAGAACAGAATTAAAACAGAACTAGAACAGAACTAGAACAGAACTAGAACTGAACTAGAACTGAACTAGAACTGAACTAGAACAGAACTAGAACTGAACTAGAACTGAAATAGAACTGAAATAGAACTGAACTAGAACTGAACTAGAACTGAACTAGAACTGAACTAGAACTGAACTAGAACTGAACTAGAACTGAACTAGAACTGAACTAGAACTGAACTAGAACTGAACTAGAACTGAACTAGAACTGAACTAGAACTGAACTAGAACTGAACTAGAACTGAACTAGAACTAAATTAAAACTGAACCAGAACAGAACTAGAACAGAACTAGAACTGAACTAGAACTGAACTAGAACTGAACTAGAACTGAACTAGAACTGAACTAGAACTGAACTAGAACTGAACTAGAACTGAACTAGAACTGAACTAGAACTGAACTAGAACTGAACTAGAACTGAACTAGAAGTGAACTAGAACTGAACTAGAACTGAATTAGAACAGAACTAGAGCAATAAATAGAACTGATGAACTGATCTAAAACTGAAATAAAACTTCATTTTGCCGTCTGCCTTTAGAAGGATCACAAAAGGCTAACAGCAATAGCGTAACACAGTTGAAACGAAACATCTACATATATATAATGGAAAAAACTTAAAACCTAAATAAACATTTTTAAACAAATTTCGAAATGATGGTGTTTCCTTTTTTAAATTTATAGCAGTAAAACAACGGATAAGTATTTAGTAAATACTTGAAGGAAGTTTCTGGGTCAGAACAACTTATTCAGAAGCTTTAATTCTCCTTTTCCCTTAACACTACAAATGATACATGCTGTTGTGAACATAAAATCCTTTAAGTTATAGAGATGCCATATCATTAAATAACTGACATATTAAAACTAAAGCATAATCTTAGGATGTAATAATAACAACATAACCCAACTAACACAGAGTTGTTATGGCAGTAAAAAAATATTTTCTCAAAAACGATGAAATCTTGCCCGGATCAAAAAACTAAGGTCATTTTTGAATTCAGCATGGAAAATCACCAGAAAGGTGACTTTCCAGCCAATTTCGTGCAGTAATTAAGGAGTTGAAAGCAAAAAAATTGAATAATCATGATATTATATTTAGTTAAGATGAGTGTTTTTTCTAGTGGACTTTTGGGGGCAAAAGTAAGGCTTAGTGATATTGTTGTTGTTTAAGGGTGATAAAAAGTGAGGTGGAGCTTGGAATCCTTTATAAAAGAGTTAAGTTAAGAAATTATAAGGTTTTAGCAGGATGAATTTGTTAAAAAAATGTAAGAAAATGTTTGTTCCTTTTAAAGTGAGGTTTGTACGTTGTTGTTGTTTTGCTTAGAGAACAACCCTGTGGCAGTAGCGATGTTTAAAAGACAACCCTGTATTTGGTATTTTTAAAAATTTTATATTATTTAGCTTGCAACTCCATAACTACTGCACGAAATTGGCTGGAAAGTCACCTTTCTGGTGATTTTTGATGAGGAATTCGAAAATGTTGTTAGTTTTTTGATCCGCGAAAGATTTCATCCTGTTTGGAAAGCATAATTTTTTCAACTGCAACATCTCTGTTTTTGTTTTAGCAAAGTCATATGTTTGTGTTTTTATGGCATCTGAAAGTGGGCAACACTTTTTAGATTTGAAATAAAGGTGTGTGTCTTGGCTAGCAAAATGAAATGTCATTGAAAAACTAAACAAAAAATAAACAAAAGTACAACTGTTCTAGCAACTGAACCTGAAAAGAAATAATTAATTTACATTTATAATTTTACTGGTTATGGGGTCTTTATTTATTTTTTTATATATGTATATATATTTAAGGATTCGTATAAAAAAATATGTTTTATTTAGATTTATAACAATAATATAGTTAGTTGTTTTTTTCATATAGTTTTGAGCATCTGCCTGAAAAAAGCAATTGCTGGTCACATTTTTTTCTTTGTTTTACATTTTATAGTTTTTCATATAATATACACAAAAAAATACAATATAATAAATTTAAATCAATCTTATTAATATTCACAGTTTATATTATTGGCTTATTACAAAAATCTTTAGATATCTTTTTTGTTGCAATAAATGTTCGTAGAAAAAAAAAAAATAACGAAAACAAAATTAACGATAATATAAAATTAACACATAACTTTCCAATTAATTAAGGAAATTTGTGGAAAAAATACAAAAAAATAAGGAAAATTTAGTTCATATTTTAAATGAATAACAATAATAATTTGTGGTTTGTTTAATGACTTAACGCCTTAATTTAAATAAATGACTTTAATGTTGTATGGTAAGACAAAAGTCCTGTTGTTGTTGTTTTTTCTTTTCTTAAATAAGTCTATTTTAAAGTTTCTGCATTTCAGTAACGTCTTGTAGATTTTTACTTTTAACAATTTTTGGTTGTATATAGTCACCCTCATCTCCGGCCAATAAAGAGTCTTGATGGGGATCCATTTTAACGCTGCCCGAGCGTAGTAATATACGTGATAATAACGAGGTACTGGAAGCACGACGTCTGGGTAAATCTTCTAAACCTCTATGCAAAGACAATTGATCTGGTTCACGTTCTTTAGAAGTGGCTACATATTGCATATACTCAGCAGTGCGTAGAGTGGCAGCAGTAGGTTTACGATAGAATTTCAATAACAAAGAAGAACATACCACTGACACCGAACTAGCAGCCATGGCTACCGAAGCCATCCAGGGTTGTAAAGTAATACCAAACGGAGCAAAAATACCCGAGGCCAGGGGTATACCCAAAAGATTATACATACTGGCGAAAAGGAAATTGTATCGTATACGTTTTACGGTTTTGCGTGACAAATCCAAACAGGCCACCACATCTAAGAGATCATTACGCATGAGCACCACATCGGCTGCCTCAGCAGCCACATCTGTTCCCGCCGCTATAGCTATGCCAACATCGGCTTGAGCTAAGGCAGGACTATCATTGACACCATCACCCACCATAGCAACACGTTTGCCGGACTCTTGTATACCCTGGATTTTAGCCACCTTGTGGGAGGGTAACACTTCAGCAAATACACGAGTGATGCCCACCTTTAGTGAAAAAAGTAAGAATTACTCAGAAATTAATGTTTTCCTTAATAATATTCAAATTTTTATAATATTTTTACAAAAAATTTAATTCCCAAATTAAATTTAAAAAATCCCTTTTGAAGGGAATTTTTCAAATTTAATTTGGGAATTTGAAAAAATCGGATTTTGTCTATAAAAATATTGTTAAAATTCTAAAAATATTACAAAATTGCTTAAAAATGCTTAATTATTATCTCAATTTCAAACTTCCCCAGTTAAGGAGATTATTCAAATTGAATTTGGGATAAAAAAATCTGATTTTTTAACAAAAATTATGCTACAATCCCTCAAATGTTATAAAAATACTATAGAGTCCCGTTTAAATCTTCCCCATTAAAGGGAATTTTGGAGATTTTTAAAAAATTATTTAATAATTCAGATTTTAGTTTCAAAAACGTGCTCTTACCTCTCTGGCTATACTAGCTGCAGTATTCTTATTATCTCCCGTCAACAATATAACTTCAATGCCCATTTTCTTTAAGGTATAGACAGCCAAATGAGCCTCCGGCTTAACCATATCCGAAACAGCAAACATGCAAACCAATTGACCATTTAAAGCACACAACACAGCAGTATGACCCTTAGATTCCTCTTCAATCATGGCGGAATTAATTTCACTGGAAACATTAATGGCATTGCGCAACATCCATTCACGATTACCAATAAGTACTTGGATTTCATTGCCCAAAATGGCATTAACAGCATCACCTACTGGCTCGGCGTTCGTGTTGTTATCATCTAATTGTAGTAATTGCAAATGTTGTTGCTGTTGGGCGGCTAGTATACGTTGTGTTTCAGCAGGATGCGAAATAAGTTCGGTGATGGAGACACCATTTTCCAATTGTATGGGTGCTTGTTGTATATTATTGCCATGTGAACGATAACTATTTTCGAAATTGATGATTTTTTCCGCATTGCAAGCTTGTCTTAAGGCTGTATCATAGTGGGAGACGGTGACCTTTATGCCACAACCGGGTACAGCTTGGAAGTTTTCTGATTTGCCCAAGGATTCTTGAGACAACATTTCTTTGGCGAAACGTACTATGGCAGAGGCTATGGGATGTTCACTGTTTGACTCCGCGGCTCCCACAATGGTGAGAGCTCTAGCTAAACTGCACACGGCCGGTTTAACAAACATTATAACTTTGGAAGTCATAGGTGTGCCGTGTGTAATGGTGCCGGTTTTGTCAAAAACCACAGTTTTAACCTAAAGATAAGAAATTACAATTTCAAACAATCCTTCCCTTGTTCTTATTACACTAACTCACCTTATGAGCATTTTCCAAAGCAGTGGCTCCTTTTACCAAAATACCATTTATGGCTCCCGTACCAGTAGCCACCATTACCGCTGTGGGTGTAGCCAAACCCAAAGCACAGGGACAGGCTATAGCCAAAACGCTTAAAGCACACTTAAAAGCATAACTCACCACTATGGTGTTGGTATCCATGTGTGCCTTATGTTCGCTGGCTACTGGCACCAAGCCGGGGTCTATGAAACCCGCTATTATCCAGCCTATCAACGTAACACTTGAGACTACCACCACAAACGGCACAAAATAGCCCGCTATCTTATCGGCCAATTGCTGGATGGGAGCTTTAGAGGTTTGAGCCTCTTCCACCAAGCGTACTATTTGTGCCAGTGTAGTATTCTCACCCGTGTGTGTGGCTGATATTAAAATAACACCATTTTGGTTGATAGAGCCACCTATAACAACAGCACCTTTACGTTTAGCTACCGGCATAGATTCACCTGTAATCAAAGACTCAT